AATGTGAAGAGTGAAAATTAACTCTTTTTATTTTCTTTTTGGCTGTTACATACAATTAATTAACATCTGCGTAGTGATGATGTATTCCTTGAAAGCTTACTTTGAAGTAACATTTTGCGCTTAGATACAACAAGTTCTAATCTATATAAGAGCTAGTGTGTATCAAGTCACACTCGATTTCTCGCAATAGGAGAAGTCATAAAAGCCAAAATAAATTTATTCAGATAGAATAGTTTGATTACTGTCTGTCTATTACGATTTTAGTGACGGGGGTGAAAGGTGGCAGTGGAAGGGTGGTGGTGATGAAACCTTATAAGTGTAGTGAGTGTTGGTATAATAAGCCTGAAGTAAAGACGTAGTATAGGATCACCTCGACGAGAGCCAAGTGTATAACGTTTATCATGAAAGTAAAAATATCGATTCATTTTCAGACTTAAATCGTTTCTGAATTAAGTTTTTTTGTTATATCACCAACGTTTTTAATAAAAAAACAAACTATTTAATCAACGGAGGCTCTAAATAAAACGTCAACAAATATTTTTCCAGTTTTGTTGTCTGTACATCTCATTTTATACTTACAGTACACAGACTAACAAAAATATTAGGTTATTTTTTTGTTGCTACGCGACAAGACATAAAAACCATTGTTGGTACGTAGTGGCACTGGCTCTTTTATGTGTTAGAAGTTGTTAATCTAACTGATTTTTACTAATAATTTTTCTATGAATACGCCACGAATTCATTTCATGAATGATCTTAATTTTAATTGGCTCACGAAGGAACTTAACGACATTTGACTGCCTCCACTGCACTTTTCTGCTTCTTTGTTGGTCAAGCTTGGTTTCTCAAAATTTATTTCAGTTAGCTATGAAATGTAAGGTTAGTATATAGCTATGCATATTTCTGACGGGCTATACCCTAGTTGCTTTATGTTACACCCTTGAGACATTTGCTGAGTCAAATACGAAGACACTCTTTCAGTAATAGTCTTCTGTATACTGTTTTTGTTTTTCTTGTAACTTTTCCATGCGACCTTTATCAGGTCAGATATATAGACGCTCTTTCATTAAGGTTTGTTTTGTTTATCTGTTATTAAGTACAAAGTAACACAATCGGCTGTCGGTGCTCTACCCATCATGGGTATCAAACCCAGATTTTTAGCGTCATAAGCTCTCAGACTTACCACTGAGCACCGGGGTAGCTTTTCACTGAATCAGTGTCTCTTAGATTTGTTAGCTAAACTGGTTTTGTTTTTCCAAACGACCTTTGCCAGGTCAGATATATAGAAGTTCTTCCATTAAATAAATATCTTTTAGATTAAAACTGTTTTTGTTTGTCTTTAAACCTTAGCCAGATAGGATATATAAATGTTTTTTTGTTTTGGCGTGGAAATTGTATGCTGGGTGACTCCCTTAAACATAATAGTATTACATTTCTCGTTTATTAGAGCTCAATTTTTGATATTTGAATTAACTTCAACTTGTTTTTATTTACTATATTTATTCAACTAGCAACAGGTCTATGAACAAACAGTGTTAGGTTATTGTTTTTGATAACGCCGCCAGGCTGTCTATGTGGGAGTGACAAATTTGTCTATTTGTAAACAATATGATGTTGACTGTCATGACAAGCCGCGTCTATTATTTTCCAGACTGTTTGTCTATACCATCATACACAAGTAGGAAACAAAGGACACAATTTCAGGTCCTATTCAATTGATTATTTAATAGCAATTTTCATACATTTAGATTCATTTTATAAGATCAGTTTTGTGTGTGTGTGTGTTTTTTGTAACACTCGTGAAGTTCAAAGGAAATGAACACACAGTGAAACATGATTCAGTCTATCTTTGCTTCGTCAAATTTAATAAACAACATTGACATTTTTAGTATTCATAGTGCCTTGTAAAGTACAAACCATAGTTAGTTCTCAAGTAAAGAACGATGGGTGTTGTTGAAAGTACTTTACACCATTAGTGAGTGATTTAAAAAATGAGTGATTGTGTGACATTCAGTAGCGTATAGCAGGACGTTGGACCTGTGAGCGTCTTGGCCTATATCGATGGGATGTGACAGAAAGTGTTAACAGTGATGTCTACACAAATTTCTAAGATACAATCCAGCAAGCAATTTTATTTTACAACCGGCTTCAGAGAAGCATTCACTATCGTTTCCCATTTCGAAGATAGAAGTGGTTGAAGGAGTGATAAAACGATGATTTAGGCTAATTTTACTGAAGGTTTCTTTAGTCTTCCAGTGTGCTGACGATTAGCCCTACAACGTTTACATTTTTTGATAAACATAGGGTTCTGTGCTGAGTGAGTAATGGGTGTAATGAGTTTAAAGTAGTGTTTATTATGCTTGGTTTTGGCTTTAGTGAATAGTCAAATTAATTTAACCATATCTGTGGAAGGCAGGCAAATGTAAACCTTTAGGCCTAATATTTGTTAACATGCTTCCTCATCTATCGACGTTCAAAACTAACTTTGTTATAAAATGTGAACTTAATTAATAGGTCTAAAATGTGTGATAAAAATCACTTTAATCTCCAGTGTTTTTATTTTCTCCATTGTCATTTTAATTTGACCATGTCGGATTCAAAATCAGAAGCGTATAAATATAGCATTCCAGATCTAGCTTCTGATCCCACAAGTCTCTGCCCAAGAGGCTTTTCTCTCAGTGCCAGAATTTGTCAGTGGGCTGAACAATAAGAGACAAAAAAATTCTCTGAAACGGTATTTATAGATGCAGAAGACGACTTTAATAGTCTCTCGTGGTCCAGCCCAACAGACGAGTTCTGATGTAAAATGAAAGGCCTCATGGTCAGGGACTTGTAGGAGACAAACAATAGGTCTGAAATGCTATTTTTACACATATCTGTATTTGAATCTGAAAATTCAAATGGACAAATTAAGAGGAATGTGAGAAAAGAAATTGGAGTTAACGGGATTTGTATCACAAATTTTAGGTTTATTGGTTTCCATGCTTCGCCAGCTTTTATAAATGCCGTAACTTTTAAAATATTACATACACTGCGTAAATAAACAGCGCTTCAAAGAATCTTTTGTCTCTTATCGTTCAGCTCAATTGATGGGCTCTGGTATCGAATGAAATGTCTCGTGGGCAGTGACTTGTGGGAGACAAAATATAGTTCTAGAATGAAGTTTAGAGACGGCTTGGATGGGTAAAGAGGAGAGCTGTTTTGTAAGTTTAACACTGTAACAAATGTACAACTTTTCAAAAAAGTTTTGTCATCATCACGTACGAGTAATTTACTTAAACATCAACAAACGCAAAATCAATGAAGCCATCTTAAATAAACAACACAGCCGCTCTCTGAACTAAATACTGTTGTTGAACATTATCGAGGTAGGGATTTGGGTTTAAAACCAGGGGTGGTCAGAAATTTGGATTTCTCTTCGCCCGCACTATTATTTATTTCCTGATTATTTTTGGATTTACATGAAATTGTTTTAACAGCTGTTTGAAAGTGAATAATAATTACATGGCTTGTCTCCACGGACGGTAAGGAAAAGCTACGAAGATTTGACCGGAAAGATTCTTTCACTTAAAACATTCTACAAGCTTAAACCATTTTCAAACTGTCGTAAAATGTTTAGTGCTACATTTACACTCTTAAAAATCAACTTGTACAAAGTAACTGGATAACTCTGTTATCTCATCTCACTTGACGCTTTACGAAACGTTACATATTTGTAATCTATCTATGTCTTAGATATTTCTAAAACTAACGTAAACTTAACGTCAAATTACATTATCGATTACCTGGAACTCCCTCTAGCTAACAAATGAAACAGAACATAAAAATTTACCTTTACTAATTATTTAATTTCTATAGTGCATATTGGTCTATAACAGACATTTGAATACATGAAATAAACGGTCGGCTAAAACACAAACTGTAACTGTCAGTACAAAGCTTCAAAGGGTTTACTGCTTTGTACTGTCAGTTACGGTTTGTGTTTTATTGGAACTTTTATGTAGAAGCTGTAAAGCGAAACGTTGAGTGTCCAATTAAAGAAAAGTAACAAATCTGATGCTGTAAAGTAGTTTATTTATATTATTAAGATACCTTTACTAAGCCGTTAAGCAAACTCTGGTCATGTGACGTTTTGTTACATACTGTGTATACTCCTGTGTTTGGAAAAAAATACGTGCGATTAATTTGTTCACTTCCGATTCAAAGCCAAAAGCATGTAAAAACAGCATTTTGGAATTAAAACCATTGTTAAATAGAAATTATGTAGAATCATAAAATAGCAACGTCATTTATAAAATTATCTGTAATAATTACCAAGAATTCTACATCTGGGAAATTGGAAGAAAATTGGAAACGAGATTCACTGAACATAATATATAAAACTCTCATGTTTACTACAATTTCAACTCCAAAAACCATAGAATATCTATTAACGTTCCTTTTAAAGTGATTTTTATCAAACATTTTAGCTTATTGATTTCTAGTGCTTCGCTAGCTTTCGGTGGTTAAACAATAACTTGTAAACTTAATTGTTTAGGATTAATGGTTCAGTGACATAAGTAAATTTTCAGAATATCGTATCATTAGAAAACTATTTAGGCAGTTCGGTTTTGTCATCTTAAAATAAAAAAAAGTAAGTTCATTGTATTTCGAGTCCAGTAAGGAAACAAAGTATCGTCGTTACACTAAATAGTCTTGCATATTTCAAGTCTTGTCACAAATAGCTTTTATCTTCATGTTTTTACGAGTTTTGTTCAGTATGTTGTAGTTTTTTCTAAAGAACAGAGCTTTCGATAGAATATATTGGACTCGTTGTATTAAGCTATGGATATTGTTGGTTTATGTTTATCCTAAAGATATAGTAACTAGGTCCTCGAATTTTGTATGTGATGTTTAAAATCCTCTACTAATCCTAGGCAGCTCACTCACAATTTGAAAGCATTTTATACTTATTTATTTGCTTGATTTTTAAGATTAAAAGGGGACAGGTTTCTTTCCAGATATGGCGGGAATACGACACTGATGGAAGCGGATTTATTGAAGCAGACGAGCTAAAGGTTGGGAAAATTCTTCTTGGATAATTGTGTAAAATCGTAAATAAATGCAGTTAAAAACACCTTTTCTAGTTAAAAAAACATATCAAATAAGGTCGAGGGATTAATGAAGTAGAATGTATGTAGATGGCGCGATATTCTGCACAAAGTATTTAGATTAAGCTGTCACATGATTGAATACAGGTATAAATAGTGTAATACTTGCATAATTAAATTTCCCGATAACGGTGTGTTGAGAACCGTTGAAATATGTACGGTGTATTTGAGACTGTTGGACAAGCTGAAATAAAATCATTTTTATTGCGTAAGTTTAATTAACTTCAATGATTCACGAATATTTTTGGTATTGTCATTTTTTAGTTGAATAACTTTTTTCACATTCGATTACGTGTTGCGTTAACATGTTTGGCTAATGGTGCAAAACTATTTTTCTATTATAAAAATTTCGCTTATGTTTATTTACTTTATATTTTATGTTCCTTTTAGCCTGTTTCAAATTTGTTTTACTTGAAATTAAGAAATTTACGAATGAAACTTATGATTGCAGTAATTAGTTAAAAGTATCCGAAAAACTAAAAAAGAAGGGTTAATTGTGCCCTGATTTATCTTGTAAAGTTTTTAGTAATTCTTTTAATTAAAAACAATATTTTTTTTTACAGAAGACAATTTTACGTTTCATAAATACATAATTTATTTTTGACCATGTTTTCACCAGTAAATGTTTCATCAAGTAGAGACTGAAATGTTTTGTAACGTTAAACAAAGAACCGGAAATGACCTTGACATTCACCTAGAGACAAGTAGGGAGGAGCTTGAGTTGGTTTGGTTGTTTAGAGATTTTTCTGGATTGTTTTTAGACTTTATGATGGTGTCACTATAAATCGGTTTTCTGAAGATTTTGAAATTATTTAGTGATGAAAATAATGCAAAACACGTTAAATATTGGTATAGATATGTTGATGATATGATTTGTCTCTGGACAGGGTCCAAATGTCACCTCGACAATTTTGTAACTGTTCTAAATTCACAAAACAAATTTATTACATTTACTTTGGAACTTGGTGAAAACAAAAACATTAATTTTTGGACTTAAATATTGACATAAATAGCGGCATACATTCCTTCAAAATCTTTATAAAACCGACTTATAGTGAAAACATCATACATGCTTCTTCAAGATATCTAATATCTCACAAACTTGCCATGTTCCATAGTTTGTTACACAGACTTATCACTGCACCCTTGTCATATTAAGATTATAAAACTGAATTAAAAACTGTGAAACAAATACAACAAAGTTAATTAACACATTGTTTAAAAAATTGAAAGCCATAAATTTAAAATCAATATATCCACATACTGTACCAAACGACAACAAAAACAAATGGAAAACCTTCTCACATGGTATATAACACACTGAACAAAGAAGTCTATAGACCGGCCTTCTACTGTAAAAACAAACTAAGAAAAATGTTGGGTAACAACAAAGACAGAATCGAAAAGTACAGCAACAGTGATGTTTACCAATTAATGTGTCAAGACTGCTTTAGTGTATATATAGGTCAAACAGGACGTCCCATAGAAACGAGAATTAAAGAACGTTCCAGAAGCTGGAAATTAAGGAAAATGGATTCAACCTTTGAATCCCACCTCACTGAAACTAAACACCAATTTGATCCGAAAAAAAAACCTCCAAAAGATTACATATCTGTGGAAAGGGTAAAAAGAGTAGACTGTCTGGAAATTTTAGAAACAAATCCAGAAAAATCTCTAAACAACCAAACCAACTCAAGTTCCTCCCTACTTGTCTCTAGGTGAATGTCAAGGTCACTTTCGGTTCTTTGTTTAACGTTACAAAACATTTCAGTCTCTACCTGATGAAACATTTACTGGCGAAACCATGGTCAAAATAAATTATGTATTTGTGAAACGTAAAATTGTCTTGATTTTCCCCCAATTCTGTAATTATGGAGTTTCTCCAAGTACCGACGATTTCAATATCAATAATGTAATAATTTTGTACTCTACATATGTACATATATATATATATATAAGATGAATCAATTATTAAATATAACTAAAGATGAAGTGAATATTGTGAAAAACAATAACGTATTTATAAAATAATTTGAGAATTTGGAAACATATACATAGATGTAGAGTAAATGGTTTGGTTTCGTGTAGAATTTTTTGAAGGATTTACTGAAGGAAGCGAAAAAAGAAGAGTACGAACCAGTTCAGGAAGATAAGCTGATAGAATACACAGACACTATGGTGGGTGATGGTTATATCTTTACCTTACAATTTGGACGTGTATAAGCTAATAGAATACACAGACACTATGGTGGGTGATAATTATATCTTTACCTTACAGTTTGTACGTGTATAAGCTGATAGAATACACAGACACTATGGTGGGTGATGGTTATATCTTTACCTTACAGTTTGTACGTGTATAAGCTGATAGAATACACAGACACTATGGTGGGTGATGGTTATATCTTTACCTTACAGTTTGTACGTGTATAAGCTGATAGAATACACAGACACTATGGTGGGTGATGGTTATATCTTTACCTTACAGTTTGTACGTGT